TTACGTAAACCTGTTGTGTTTATTTTATCATTTGTTTAAAACATACTTTTCCTGAGAGATAAAACGTCCTCCCTTTTTTCTGAGTTCTAATTGGCATCAGCTTCCGTGTATTTCAAGGCAGCTGCTTAGTGGGGAGATGCAGGGGGCGCTGGAATCCAAACACACCCTCTCCTGCTCCCTGACTCTTTCTTCCACAACAGAAGAGAGCAATGACCAGTAGTTGGAGGTACTTTACTTTTTCATAAAGTAGACTAATGTAAACCCAGCTTTGGAGACATTGAATGATGACTCTTTTTCAGGCTCCAAATGAACTATCTGTTTAAACAGCAGGATATGTCAGGGAAAAAATCAAGCTTTAACTTTTATTAGATCTCTCCTGTTTAGTTCACTCCAACTCTATGTGTCTGACATTATGAGAGTGTTTATACAGGGTGTGAGTGAGTAGTTACCTTTCTTCCTGTTGAAACATTAGGGAGGACTGGGGCCCAGTGGCTGAGAGCTAAGGTCAGAGTTGGGCAGAGCTAGGTCTGAAGGCCACTTCTTCCACTTAGCCCATGCCTCAGTTTCCCCTCTGTGAAACATGGATAATAATACTATGTACATCACACTCACAGGACTATAGGAGGCCACATATGGAGAATATTTAGCTGGGTGCTTGACGCAAAACAAGCATCAACCAACAATAGCCACAATGATATTGTCGCCATGTTTTTCAGCTTGAGTTCCCAGGCTGATACCTCTGATATTAGATAACACTGATATTACACACCATTGGTATCTGTAGATACCACTGTGATTAGCTAACAGTAAATGTAGACATGACAGTGCTTCATCAGGTAGACATCAGGCTTCGGGCATGCCTCCATCTCCTTTCTCCAACCAGAACGCCTGCGAGGGGGAAACAGCAAGTGAAAATACTGCAAAGCTTTGCATTTAGAAACCGGAAAACAGATGCACAGAGCAGTCTGCCTCTGTGTAAATGCACATTGTAATCAGTTTTCTAACTCTGCCTTTACAAGGATGAGTTAAGCGGTTCGTTGACATATCATTATCACATTCTGAAGATAAACAGCCACAGGATCTATGAACTCTCATCAGGCAGTTAATTATTCTTGAATTTTTCTGCACTCTTGAAACATATTCTATTTATTTAACCGTCCCCTGGGAGCCCTGGTCGCTTTTGTCCCTGCCACACGGCCAGTGGTGTAAAACCTCTGCATCTGTCAGATTTCTCCATGTGGAGCATAATTGCCTGATTTCCATTTGAAAGTACAGCCCTGACATTAAAACGACATAGACACACCAATGATAACAAAGGCTTCCTGACACCTACCAGAGGAGAGGGGGCGAGGGGGCATAATGCAGGAATAAATAAATGCACAAATGAACGCTCGCCTTCACGGGGCCAGGTCTGAATTTACAGCTGCAGATGAAGTGTTCCTCGGGAGCAAACAAAAAGAAAGAATGAAAGAATAAAAGAAAAAGAAACCAATAGATTAGCATCCGCATGAGTCTGTTGGAGCCAGATGGCTCTCTGTGGAGAGCGAGCTGTCCTGCTTTCTCCCAGTAACCCCGACCAGCAGACAGCAAGCCCGCTACACGGGGAGAGAAATGATCTCATTCCTCAGCCGGGCACGTGAGCCGCCTTCTTTCTCTCACACACAACTTGAGCTGAAGGGAAGTTGGAAAAGAGAGAAAGGGTGAAAAGGAAGGGGTGGGGGAAAACGGGTGATTGTAAAGAACAAGCCGGTCCTCGTAGCCCAGAGGAAGAGAGACACCAGGCCAGCCCTGAACGTTGAAGAACTGTCTCCAGATGTCCACGAAGGAGAAGACAGGGAGACAGGGGACACCCGACACATTGTTATCTCCTCCACACACATCCATGAACTACACCTCCACGATCCAATGTTGCCTGGAAGGCTTGGTGTGTAGAGACTGGGGGGAGGGGTGCAGGCTGCTGTAGAGGCCATGGGGTTAAGTTCTGTGCCCCACTGGAAAGGGGCAGTGAGCAATGTTTTCATTTCTTCCTAATGACAATGTCTGCCTGTCTCTGTGGGCCACAGGCCAAAGAGTCTGTCAGTCCTTAGCCTGCAGGACCAGCCATCTGCTGGGATCCTGGTCTGCCATGCTCCTGAACAGGTGCCTGAGGTGGAGGCAGCTGGAGTGGGGGGGGGCAGTCAAATGGAACCGACAGGTTGTAGGTGTGGGAGGGCTCCTATGCTTGAAGATTCTGAGACTGAGAGGGCCCTGGTCTGGGGTCATTCTGCCCGCCCTGCTGAGCAAAGCATTCACTGCTCATAAACAAGTCTGTTGTCTGGAGTGACAGCCACATGTGGGGGCTGGTGGACATCAGACAGACCACCAGATGCTGGTGTTAGGGCCTAGCACTTGCAGGTGTGTGCAGAGGTGCAGGCCTCCTTCGAGCGAATCTGCCCGCTTAGTGAGTGTTTACATACCCAGCTCGGTACCAGGGCTCCTGAGGCCTCCCACTCAGAGAAGCAGACCAAGAGAGAATGAAGGTGCCTGTGAGAGTGAGTGCAGGGGGCTCACGGAGTACTTTGTCAGCCTGGCTAGGTTGCCTGGGCACCTGAAGCTTGTCTCCAGCAGTGTTTACCCAAAAGAATAAATAGTAGTTTCCAGGGTGACACCAAATGCGGGGAGATGTAGTCATTCATTTACAGCTGGAAACTATTATTTAACTCCTAATAAATATTGAGCACAATTCTCTTCATTTTCAGCCCAGGATGGGGGCACCTGCTTCACAATTCCTGGCAGTTGTCGGTAAAACTGAACATTAAGCTGGTGTATTCTGTCAGGGCCAAGGAAGCAAAGCAAGCTGCCAGCTGGGGGCTAAAACCACAGGCTCTGGCTTTTCTTCTTTCTAAAAATGAAACGGAAAGCCAGCACCCCACCAAAAAACTGTTCTGCTCTTTATCTCCCAGGCAATGCTACCACACAACAGGTTCTTCGTTCTGTACAGGATTCTCACTCACAGCAGAGCTAAGGATTTCGAAGGAAACCATATCACTAAAGTAACAAGAGTGTGAGCTCCATCATCGTTCCTTGCCTCCACTTAAGCAGGGAGATCAGTCACTCAGTAGGAGCATTTAAGAAAATTGTAAAATGCTAGCGTTTAAGGAGCGCTTACCAAAGTGTCGGCCCTGCTTCTAAGTGTTTTGTGTACATTTCATGTAATCTTCATGACAACCCTATGCGGCAGGTTCTCTGATTATCCTTGTTTTACAAATGGAATGCCAAGTCCTAGAGATGTTAAGCAACTTTGCCAAAGTTGCACAGCTAGTCCCGGGTCCATACCACCAGGCTTTCCCGCCTCTTTTGATGGTATAATGACTGAGCTTTAGGCTCCCTGTTTTGGCTGCTCACCAGTGGTACCATCTTGGGCTACTAAGTCTCCCTGAGTTCCCATTTCTTTATCTGTCAAGGAAGGACTGGGATAGTGGTCTTATAGGGTTGCTGTCAGGAGCAGAAGTAATGTGTAACATACATGCATGCAAGGCCAGTGCCCGGCATGTGGTTGAGGCTCCATAAATGTTAGTACAGGTGGTACGCTGATGGTTTAACAGTTTTTCAACTCTACAGTGGGTTTGTTGGGAAGTAATCCTGTCGTGTGTCAAGGAGCATCTGAGTTAAGATAGTTTGATTTACAGTTTCAACTTTACCATGGGTTTATCAGGATATAAACATTTTATCAGGATATAAACCTGATGCATTTTTGTATTTTCAGCTTACAATGGGTTTATCTGGACAGAATCCTCATCATAAGTTGAGGAGCATCTGTGGTTACTACTACTGTGAGCATTGTCATTATCTTTGTGCTCTTGTATTTCACTGAATTCTCACACACTCACATGCACACATAAAACTGTGAGGTAGGTGGGGCAGCTGTCGCTAACCCCATTGTATAGCTGGTGTATCAGGTGGTAAAGCTTGAGCAAGAACCCCCATCTCTTGACTCTGCACTTTGTCTAACCTGAGCTTGCCGTTTCCTGCTGGACTGCAGGTCACACCTGTCCATTTCTAGACACAAGACACAGTTGCTCTCTAGAAAGACTGGAGCAAGGAATTCAACTCTTGCCACTTTCCCTTTGTCTCCAGGCCCCGGGATTGGCTGAAAATGGAGCTAGGTCCTGCCTGTGCCCTCCTGGGAACTGCTGAGACAGTCAATACCTCTTAGGACAAGTAAGGTACTAGCTTAAATGGATCATAAGCTCCTGTGTGCCCTTAAGATTTTCTTTAATGTCTAGGTCAAAAAAATACTTATTTTCTTATCATCAAGAAATGCAGATGCATAGCCCCATCTCAGGCCTCTCCTCCCCTTGTTCGGGTGGCCTCTGAGAACATTTCCAACACTCCTCTTTGCAGAAGGCATTCTGTACCTACAGCTGGAAGCAGGAGAGGAACCGGCCAAAGGACCTGGGTGTCTTGGCTGTACTCTGCCTTCTTTCCTTAGCTTTCCTAACTCTGCCTTTCCGGTGATTTTCATGTTTTCCCTTTCATTTTACTTTCAGAAAATCTCTGGGGAATGCAGCTTTTGTTCTGTTGCTTCACGAAATTCCCAGGGCTGGGAATGAAAATTATTTCCTTTCACAACTTCTGGCTGAGTGCCTTTCACAGCCCGGCTGTGTTCTGGGGTGATTTATAAACTGCAGAGCCTGGGTGTCTTTCCTCCTCCTCCTCCTCCTCCCCCTACCCCTACCCCTACCCCTTCCTCTCCTCCTCCCTTTCTCCTTCCCACCACCCTTTAAAACGAGGTGAGCCTCCAGAGTCAGGGTGTCAGCCACTGGAGCTCTTGTTCAGGCAAAGGCTCACTGGAACCATAGTGATGAGAACTTGAAGCCATTCATTCCTGTTAGAAGAAGACAGAAATAGGCCTCAAGGCCGAACTTACATCTCTGAGAACAAATTTGACCCAAAATCTCAAAGTTTAGAGTTGGCTTTGAACTAAGACTATAAAAGCACATTTTCCAAACTTGTCAGGATTGTGTTTCATTTCTAGACTTTTATTCTCAAAGGGGTGATGAGGAAGAGACACAGCGTAAGAAGTTTTGAGCTGAGAAATGAAAAGAAGTCACTTTTCTTTGCTGCCACAGAACTAAGTAGGGGGAAAATTAAGCCCAGGGGTTCGTTTAACCTGTTACAACAAAACACAGAAACCAGACGGCAGAGTGTCATTTGCAAGGTGATGTGTCTTTGTCGGAACTGAAGGCTGTCGCAGGTCGGCTGCCTCCATGGAGTCCCCATCTGCCCCTGCACTCCCCACAGGGATGGTTTCATCAGGAGCTGAAAGAACACAGAGGGGTGAGCAAGTGATCGAGCCTCAGACTGTCTGTCTGGGCCAGACCCCGGGGAACACGTGTGGACACTATGTGCCTCCTTTTCTACTCAGCGTGACCCTGGACAGGAAGAAGTCTTCACAGCCAAGGCCAAACAGCCCAGACAGACCACTGCCTTGTGGCTCTATGATTTCTTTGAACTGCCCTGTGCCATCTTTTTGGTCATGCCCAAATCTTTGCTTCTACATAAGTCACACAATAGCACCAAGCCTCCTTGTCTTCTGGCCTGTGACTGTCTGTGAGTTCTGAGCAGCAGACACGGAGGCTGAAGGTCAGAGCCAGGGTTGCCACTACTTGCCCTGTAACCCTGGATGAGTTACTGAAGCTCTCTGGGCCTCAGTTTTCCTCATCTGAAAAATGGGGAAATAACACCTACCTCCCAGGGCTGTTATGATCATTAAACTAGATGATTTACACCAAGTTATTCACACAATGCCCCACAAAGCACAAACTCAAAGATGCCAATTAGTATTTCTAAGCATAGGAGGGAACCCTGGGAGAAGGCCCTGGAGAAAAACTGCCTCCGGGACTGTGAACCAAGGCAAGAGAGAGAGAGAGTGGGATCAGAGAAGGAATGGGATGGAGGCTGGGTGGAGGACACTGAATCTATCTCCTCCCGTGTTCCCTGCAGTTTCATTTGGAAGGGCAGCGTCTAAGATTTTAAAGTCATATATCATTCCCATTTCCTTTTTAAAAATATAAATCATTGTCACAGAGACATTCAAGTTCAGAAAGTCGCATGTGTTAGGTCTGAGGCTCATGTATATCTAGTGTTATAGAAAGTGGGAAATCAAGAGGGGCTCCTGTCTTCGGCCTTATCTTCCCAAAATAATGGATGACTTTTTTTTTCACTATTAGAGGCTGTTAGCACCTCAGACTTCTTCCTGAACCTGGATTAGTGATCAGTTTTGTTTTAAGATCCTAAGAGCACAAACGATGAGACTGAAACAGGCCCCATCCGCTAATGCACTGCTCGTTGAGGAATGTCAGTGATGACGTACATGTGGAAAATTTGGGGCACCAGACCTCTCCCCAGTCTCATCTCAGTCTCAGGCCCAGAATGAGGTGAAAATTGGAGAGAGGGCCCTGGAGCAGAGAAAGGGGGGTTCCTGGAACATGTAGGGCCATGTCACTGAGGCAATTTCCAGCAATGATTTACAGGAAGCGTTTAGCTTATGCATAGATTGGGGCCAATCCGAAAAGGAATCAAGGTTCATGAAACTCTCAATTGTGACATCTTATAGGGTGTGGCCCAACCAGAGTTAGCTAAGTACAGATGTCATTAGCTATAGATTCATTTGATTGCTATTACGTATTCTCTGTCTCTCTCTGACACACACACACACACACACACACACACACACAACTGAATTATATTCAGCAGTATTTTATGCTCTTTGGAAATTGTTACTTACTCAGATACAGGGTGTTTTGTTTTTGCTTTTTGCTGATTCTCTACTAATTTTGTTATTCCCAATACCCTTATCTCATTTTGAATTATGGAGTTTACTGCAGTATTGTATTTTTGAGATGTAAAAGCTATTATAATTAGAACTAAGATTTTCAAAACTGGGAACATACAGGTTAAATGATAAGGATAGTGTATTTGTGAAATTTGGGTTCCATTTTGTTTTGTCATCGTAGCAAACAGAGAAAAAATGAGTTGATTACAGATGGAAGTGTAATTTTTTTCTATTGAGAAGACTTGGTCATCTGCCTCCACATCCATCACCACCCATCAGCACTACAAAGGGCAGCTGAACTCCCCCTCAATACTCCTCTGTGCCCCAGTTTCTCCAGATGTAAAACAACACCACTCAACACATCTGTCTCCCCCTTAACTCAAAGAAATGTTATAAGAATCTTTGAGAGAAAAGAATCTCCACAAAAGTGTTGTGATCCCAGAACTTATTTGTTTTGTATCTTTGTAATTGTATGAAAAGTGGAGGTTACTCTAGTAAAAACTGAAAACTGAGCTGGAAAGGGCTGGAATTGCTAAAATGAGTGGAAATACGATAAAGGAAACCATTCCCTGTACCCAGCAGCTGTCAGGCTATGTTCATGATCTGCTCTTGCTTCCTGAGAGCACCATGATTTCTTTGTAACCAAGAGGAATAATCTATTTTCTGGCCTAACCTCTCATAAGGTATTTTGGAAGTAAGCTGAACACTAGGAAATAATATTTTACAGATCTCTTCGTCTCCTCTTTATTCAACACTCTTTAATTTTTCCCCCTTGCAATTTCTCTTCTCAGAAATGTCACTTTTTAGCGTTGATTCATCTCTCCTGCCTCATAGCACATTTTTCTCTCTTCTAGCCTGTCCATTTTTCATTTTTCTCACTTGTATCTTAACTGGATCTTCCATCTCCTCCATTTCTACTCCTATTTCCTTTAAATTCATTTTCCTCTTCCCCTTTTCTCTCCCTAAAGAGTGAACAGACAACAGATAGGACAATCAGCTAGGATTGTGCTGAGAAAATGAACTGACACAGCACAGTGAAAGCTGGACAAGCCAAACCTGACTCCATCAATTTGAGTTGACACCTCTGACAATTCAAACAAGACTTGGTCAGCACAGAACCGCAAGGCTGTCTTGGAATTTTCACACATATATGTTTGACATTCTACTCCAATTCAGTTCCATAGCCCAGATGGTGGAAGAATTTTGTTTACTTGAGACAAATTCTCATCTATCATCTTTCGCTCCCACAAGACCATTGCTCACAACCCCCAAGGACTGCCTATGAGCACCATCATTTTGTTACAGTTAATGCTCACTGTTGTGCACAGCTGGGAAATGTAGCCTTCTGGTTAATTACATTTTCCCATTAATAGAACTTACAAGGTACATCTTCCATGGGTTGCTGACATCTAGACACCTGGGATACTCTAAACACCAAAGCTAACTTGAACAAGTTTAGTCATTCTTGGAAATTTTAGAGGAAACTTCAGGACTCATGGAACATCAAGGGTACCAAAGATGTGTTGTAGATGTGGGTAGTATAAGATAATTGGGATTTTCATTTGGTACAATGTAAAAGTGGTTTGGGGGTATGCAATAGCACAAGTCACATGGGAAATAAGGGTACCATGTGAAGCACATTATATCTTTTTAAAATTTTTCTCCTCAGTATTAATGTGTATTTAAATGTTCAAAGGAAAGAAATTCATGACCTTCCAGATTATAAAACAGTATATGCATGACAATTCCATTTTTGTAAGAAAAAACATGTATGTATACACATACACACAACCTCCCATACACAAGTCAGGGAAGATATGACCCATATTTTAATAGTAGTCTCTCTGGGTGATGTAATTATAAGTGCTTTTGTTTTCTTCTTTCGGTTTATCTGTACTTATTAAAAGTTAAATATTTCTTCTATAACACAAATAAACAAATAGTCTTTAATTGGACAAATCACATAGCTCAGTATTAAAATCAGCACAGAAATCTATCTCAATATAGATCAAGAACAGATTAAATGAAAAGAATGGTTGCAGAAGAAATCTTCCCATTTGGAAAACACCTATCACGTGAGATTGTCAAACACAAACTTGGAGGCTGGGGAGTTGGGGGTGGTAGTGGCTGCAGCGATAGCAACATGGAATGTGAGGCAATGCTGTTGCCTTGGGGAATAGAGGTGGGATGTGGATCATCACCTGTTATCACAGGCAGGCTCTATGAGTCATACACGGTATGACATGGGGTTACAAGAAGGATTCTTGCATTTTCCATTAAGATAATCCCTTCATAGCATTTCTGCATCTGTTTCTAACCTTCTAAACAGAGTAAGATATGGAAGACCACATCTTGGTTTCAACACTGATCCTCCATGACTGTGGTGGAGGGTTTGGCCTGAGCCTGAAATCAGACGCTCAGTTGTCTCCAGGGCCCTGCACCACCATGGCTTCACCCCACCCATGGCTTCACCCAATCCTGGTCCTTGACAGCACAGGGCCTGTGCCACCGTCCCACCTCTCTCCCCACCCTGGACTGGCCTTTGCTAGTGTGGTCTCCACTTGTACAGAGCTCTGTACCCCTCCCGCTTGCTTCCATCTCAGTTTTCCCAGCATTCACTGTCATCCCAGAGAAAGGACAGGGGAAGTGTGAACAGAGAAAAGAGACACAAATTTCAAAAATGAAATTTTAGGGGAAACTCTACCAGTGAGTGTAGACTTCTTCCCTAGTGATACAAAGAGTGCAATGGCATTTCCAGGATGAGGGGAGGGATGGCTGTTCTGGGATCACCCTACCTGGTTGCCTCTTTCTATCCATGGGCAAAAGAGGCCATGCTGTGCAGGAAATAAATTCCCAGCTTCTAGAAGTCCCCACATTTTCCAGAGACCAGAGCAGATCCTTGCCTATTCTCATTTCTGCTGTTGCGTGCACCTTGTCTAAGAGGTTTTCCAAATCCCAGTGTGTGTTTCAGCATCGCTTGTGCACACTGTCACGCTGGAGCGCCCTGCACAAGGCTGAGATCCTGACTTCCCATGTGGATTCCTCTGTCCCATTTATCTGAAGCTCTTTGCAGGCAACAGATCGTACTTTAAAAAACAAAAAGCAAACAAACAAACAAACAAAAAACACCTCTGCAGTACCTCTTACAGTTTTGTGTTAAGACCCATATATTTGTTAAGCGAACAAATGCGCAAGTGACTCAGCAGTCCGCACACCTGATGCTCTGCTGTTTTCAGATGCTACATAGTATCTCATCTATTTCTCAAAGCAACCCTGTGAAGAAGGCCCTCCATTACGCTTGCATTCAGGATAAGAAAAATGGCTCGAAGAGGACTTACCCATAGTAACACACAGGTCACTCAGTGCCAGGACCTGGAATTCTGATTTTAGTCTAATGCTCTTTCCATCACGATGGTGATCCCCAAGCCAGTTGGCTCATTAGAATCCCCCATAAAGTTGGTTAACGAACCAGTCACAGCCCTACTGCAGACCTGCCAAATCCCTCTCAGGTGAGGCTCAGCCATCTATACTGTCAACGGGTTGTTCCACAGATGATCTGGTTGCCCTCCCACCCATGCTGCCTGTGCTGACCAGCTCTGATTTGACATCTGGTCGATGTTATCAAGGGTGTCAATGCAAAACTTCAAGGCTAGCCCTGACACTGAAAATCCTATGTTCCTCCATTAGTCACCTCCTTGTGTGTGAAGAGTTCACTTATACCTCCCAGGATCCTCCTTCTGTAGGAGCTAGGTTAACGGCTCAACTTCTAGAAAACCCAAGGTTAAAAATAGCTGTGACACTCATTAGCCCCAAGGGGGAAAGGTCAGCAAAGTTTGACAGCCGCACTTAGGAAGGCCTGAGAGAGGCTGCAGAAAGGCCTCGGAGCTGAGAACAGGGACCCAGCCTTCCTTGGAAGCCTGGCTCCAAACCAGCTGGGCCCCCGCTAATTGGCCACGTCTGGGAAAGGTGCTCGTATAGTCACGTCTCTGTAAAGCAAGGGGCAAGGGCCCTGGCAATTAAGTGACCACAAACCCATCCAATAATTACTCATCAGGGGGACTGCAAATGGTGGGAAAGTTCTTCCTGTTTGGAAGAGTGAGTAAAATTTGGAGAGAATCAGCAACCCGCCCCCCTCCAGCAGCAGACCACTAAAGCCTAACCCCATCACGAGAGAGACCCTCACCACTCAAGTTCTCCAGAGGAACAATTAGGAGGTGCTTGAGAAGTCCCCCAAGCTGACTTAACCTGCCACGAACCCAGCAAGCAGCCGCCCTCGGACTGTGATGTATAAGGAAGGGGCCGCCTCCAGAGAGCGGCCTGGGCTACTTGCCTAAGTGCTGTGTTGCAGGTCAGCCTGGAAACCATTATTATCATCATCAGGAGGATCAGTTAGGAGACAAGTCGAAGCAAGTTGAAATTTGAAAAACACATTAACAGAGGCCTGACGAGATGCCAGAAGAGTCTGCCAGCAGGGACAGCTGGAAGGCCAATTTCTGAGTCAATACTGAAAGGTGGTTGCTTAAATATCTGAGTCAACACACACTGATTTCTCTCCGGCTCAATACTCCCGTTTAATTGCACTGGGGAGTCTCTCCACTGACACATCTAACACCAAGATACATAGTTAAGTGAAAGAAAAGCACGTTATTGAAGTGCAAATGAGGTCCTTCGTGCAGCCTGCAGGCCTGGGTCCCGCTGAGCGCTCCCTACTGCCCTGGCAGAAGGTGGCTGGGCCTTGCAGGGACTCCATGTGGCCCCCTTTTTAAAGAGGGTCGAGAGACGGTGAGGCCCAGGCCTCAGCCGGCCAGCAGAGAGAAGTCTAGGTGCACTGCAGCTGCACAAGCAACCAAGACTCTAAGATATTTTGTCAGGATCCACGGTCCTCTCCGGGGAGAGGAGGCCAGGAGTGCCTGTTTCCCACCCGAGAGAGCCAAGTCAGATGGAAGGATGTGCAACTGGAGAGCTATCCTGTTTGGCAGCCAGGTGACCACCTGACGAGGTTGGTGGCAGAGACGAGGAATGAAGCAAGTCTTGAATGTCTGCCCAGCTACCTGGAGCCTGGGAAGCAGGCTGGTCTCTGAGGAGTCCTGACAGGTCATGGCTACTGATGGAGATGCTTCCCCATCATGATGCCCACACAGGGACTGAGCAGGATGGCCCAGGGGTAGTGGCGAGGGTGGGGGCTCCCACAGTGACCCTCTGGCAGCCTTCACTGACTTCAGAGCTAAGCATGATGTAGGAGACCTACCTGGACCTGAAAACCCATGAGAACCAGGACCCGAACCACAGTGAAGAGGCAGGGCCCATGAGCAGGTGGCATGAGTCCTCCATTGCTAAATTCTATGTCTGCTGCCAACTGTCGGAGATAAGGAAGAAACCCATGTCGGTGGTAAACTCAAACTCAAATTACTAGGGCACATTGTGAAAGAGCAGTTTCTGGTTCAATACATCTGGGTGTAGGTAGCTTTGGGTCCAATGGCATTCTGGTGCACACCAGTCTGTCATGCACCCACAGTGTGGGAGTGCTTCCTCATTAAAACACCTGCTAATCACAGCGAACAATCAGAGATCTGTTCAGATGGGGCCCGGAGGATCTGAGAGACACATGGCTGGGCCATTGTCAACCCGAGCAGTTCAAGTGCAATGGCTGCCACTTAGGGAAACTATGGAATTGTCTTGGTCTGATGCTCAAAACTAACTCACAGGGACGTGATCTGCCCAAGACAAATAAGTCTGAAATGAAGATCAAATGCTATTTCTTCCACTTACTAGTTGTGGGACCTTATATAACTGTTGTGTAAATAAAAATGTGGGTAAAATGCCTGGCACAAAGTAGTTGCCCAAAAAATGCCAGTTCACCCCTCAAGTTTCCCCTCAAATCTGAGGTGGCCTCAATTTTTTCCTTCTCTAGTTGTCAGTGTTGCTTTCCGTCCAGGAAAGCCACAGTTAGAAGAGGTGCTGTGAAATTTTTGTCTCTCACCTCTAAGCAAGACATCCAGCTCTGTTGGTCCCTGTGGCGGGACCTCCCCATCTCCCACCCAGCAGAAGTTTGAAAAATGAATGTACTCATCTTCCTGGAGCATAAAGAGTTTTAAGACCTTCCCTTCTGAGCTGTTTATGGAACTGCCATTTAGGAATTCAAATGGCAGAGCCATTCTCCCTCTGAAGGTCCCCAGGGAGCTCCAGCACCTCCTCACCTACCCCTTATTTCATGCTCATGCTTTTTTGCACGTCAATAAGCGGTCTCAAGGCCAAGACTGTCCCAGGCGCCCATGCACCTGTCTGATTTCATCCCCATGGCTCCCTTCCTCTTGCAGCCCTTCCCAGGCACACTGGTCTTCTTGTCTTCTGTGAACTTGCCAAGGCTGTTTCTGCCCTGAGCACAGTGCTGCCTGGAAGCCCCTATCCAGGTAGCCACATGGGGGTTCTTCCTTCATCCAAGTCTCAGCTGAAATGCTGCTCCCTCTCAGAAGGCTTCACTGGCCCTCTATCAGTTTTATATTTTTTTCTTAACATTCATCACTACCCGAATGATCTTATTTGTTTAGTTACATGTTAATTGTCCCCCTCTACTAAACCACAAGCTGCCCAAAGGCAGGGACCTCACGTGTTTAGTTCAGTGAGCATTGCAGATCCCTGGACAGTGATTAGATGCTTAGTCCGTTCCTGCAGCAGCAACAGTTTTCCAAGGAACGCTATCAAATGCATCTATGAGTGTTATAATTCTATCCTGTAATAGGTTGGACAACTATTCAGGGTTTTGGGCACTGCCAGAAACATGCAACTCCAGGAAGGAGAGGAATGGGGACGGGAGGGAAATGCCTCCAGGCAAAGGCAAAAACTTTGCTTTGAGCTTCTCATGTCCCAGAATTCAAACGTCCGTCTGACCCCAGGATCAGAGTGACAGAAGCTTTGCTCTGTCTCCTCTCACCTGAAATGAACAGAAGGCTGCTATTCATTCCCTCAACCTCAGGTTCTAGGATGAAGCTAGAGGGAAGCCTTCAGCCATCAGGGCAGTGCCAACACCAAGGGCTCAAGCAACACTCAACTTTAGAGATATTGTCTAGAAAAGATAATCAGAGCTGGACTTTTTATATGGATTATTAAGCTCTTCTAACTCATCACATGGATTAGTTTATTTGTCTTAAGAAATTGCCTCAGTGACTAGAGATAGTTTTTAGAAAATGCATGAGATGTGATCCCCTCTAACAAACATATACTGTGGCCGAGCCTCACTTAACTCCACATGGATCACCTAGCATGGGGGTTCTAGAAAGGGATGGGGGAGCTGCTGCTACAGGGGTTCATGTTGTCCACCCATCCCTGGTTCTTCATTATTACTTTGTGACTCCATACTCAAAACCAAGCCTTGTCAGTCCTGAGAATGGCTCTGGCTCTGAGGGAGCTGAATGACTGCCAAGGCCATCCAGATAAGCATGAATTAAGCAAACCCTCCTGTCCCTACGACCCTCAGGACAAAGTGGAGAAGAGGGTAACTGGGCTACTCTGCGGAAGTGTCAATGCCCTGAGGTCTCTGTAAAGCACCAGATAGTGCAGGAAGAGGAAATCTCAGCTCTCCTTAGTAAGACAAGGCAAGCTACTGAGGGCCACGCTGTCCAGAGAAACTTTGCTGGATGCACATTTGGTGGATGCACAGAAAGTAACACGTTTTTCTGCTGTTAGAGATTCTTTTGGAAGCGAGTATAGAAGGCCCTGCCAGAATGAGATCCCTTGGGACACCTGGGATGGGGGTGCCCAAAACAACGGTTTATTCAAAATACAGCGAGCAAGTCAGTAGCATCCTGCCCCAGAACCCCAAAAACCAGCTGTGCTATCCCTTCCCAGCTCTTTCTCACTGCCCACGAAGTGACCTCTGAAGGGTCCGATTGTCTTTAGGAGCAACGCAGGGCTGGAAGTATTTTAGACCAGGCCTGCTGTACTCACCGTCTGCGTCTGCTGTGTCTCTGTCGGGGATCAGCTGCTGACTGTCGGCATAGCTCATGACAGTTCTCCTGTCTTGATTTCCCTGAGCACTTGCTTCTGCAAAGAAACCGTGAGAGGAAGGAAAAGTGAGGATGCTTGCATGAGTGGGCTTCATGGCGGCCGAAGTGGGAGACTTTTGGATGCCTCTGAACATCGGTTGCCCCTGGCAGGTTTCCCACAGGTGCCCATCATGTGAAGGACTGGATGGAAGTTCCAGCTATTGGATGTCGTGCTGGGGAGGCTGAAGGACATTTAACATGTTTCACGTACTCATTGCCTAGAACGAGGAAATGCACTGTCTGAGAACAAAGTGGAGGAGAGGACGCTCATTTGAGGAAGAGCTCTCCTGGACATTACCCTTTCTTGTTCCTTTCACCTTCTGGGTCTCTCTGTGCTAGGGTGGAGTGGGGCACAAGAAAGACCCTGTAGGGCCCTTTCTTCTGCATTGCTTTGGTCTAAGACATAGTTCTTAATGCTGACTGCACCTTAGAATCACTGAAGAGCCCTCACTCCTGCTCCTCCCTAAGTCACCACCCCCCAAAACATAGTGTGTGTCCCGTGGGAGATAATCTGAGGGAATAGACCCATGTGAAAAGAGTATCAGTGAACATAATAGTGCTTCCATGCCCCTCCCCCTCACTGTCTTTGAGAGGCTCTATCTTGCCTCATGGAGCTGTCAGTGGTCACTGGGAGAAAATACTCTGGCCCCCGGAAGTTAATGGGGTTCCTTAGGAAGCAGCATCTGCATGAGGTCTCCCCTGAGAGTGCCTGGCCTTCCTGCTGGAGCCCCCCCTCCACCCGGTGCTGCACTCAGGGCAGATGAAGGCAGGCAAGGAGAGACAGACTCACCCTCCCCCAGAGCCTGGGGGCTGAGGCTCACAGCAGGAAATCCAAGGCTGCTGGGGAAAGGGAGCGGGGACTGGGAAATGCACAGAAGCATGAAAAGAAAAGGGTTGGGATCCTTCCTTCCTGGGACCACATATATGTTTGTGCAGTTTTCTCTACATAGAGGCACCTGGACAAGGGTTTCAGGGTGAGGACTGACCTCAGCCCACACAGAGGGTTTTCCTCTACGATAAGCCATGTCTGGGGGCTGTCGACCCCAGAGCCCACAAAGGGGTCCTTGTTCTTAATTTGCAGAGACACTGACTGGGGCCTCGGGGGATGGGGGCTGCTATCTCCTGCCCTCCTTTCACACCCACCCTCCCTCCTCTTTCTCAGGCTCCATTCTGAGGGCTCCCGGTTAAGGCACCCTTCCTCACTTTCTACTTGGGGTTGCTTTTCCCTAGCTCAGAACTGAAAGCGGGTTTGATTCTACTGACTCAGACCTTGCTCCAGAATACTGTTTCTCTAAGAAGTGTGGGAACCCTCAGCGGACGAGTGGGAGAGAGCAGTGTGCAGTTAGAGCCAGGCACAGCTGAGACCCATCTGCCCTGTCCTGTGGCAAAGCCTCCAGCCCTGCCTTTCCCTCTCCAATGATCACGTGGCATGATACCCTCTCCCCACTTTACTTTGTCCATTTCTTGACAACAAAGAAGAGAAAAGGGGGGAAGTTCGTTTGACTTCTCTCTAGAAACCCTCTGTACTGTGGGGCTGGCATGATGGTGGGTGCGAGGGAGCAGGAGATATCAGTGGATGAGGTGCCCAGAGCCTGGAAATTCTGGGGCTAAAAGCTCTAGTGAGGACTGCTCCTGGTCCTTATTGCCAAAGTTATTTCTTGTTTTTTGTTTAGATTTTTGTATCTCAGTGTCTACAGCAGTAAAATGTGACCTAAACCAACTATAACTCACAGGGATACTAAGGTGAGCTGATACTAGAATGAAAGCATTATGACAACAATTTTAAACATTCTTCAAATAATCCATCTTTTCTTTGGGATAGTCCCACTTTAAAAAATAGTCATCATAATCCACATGTCCCAGAGAGACATACTGCATATAATAGCTGTGTAAATAAGGAATCTCTGGACTTTGAGATTCCCCTTGTGGGCCTCTGGAGTGGCTACAGATTAGTTCATGTCAGAAGGAATTCATTCCCTTCTTGGAGGTTCAGAAAGGCTTGCCTCCTGCTACCGGGTTTCCCCTTCAGGTCAGCACTTCCGTCTTAGCCAGGCTGTAGCTAAGGGACCCTGAGTGTGTGGGATTGATCAGCCTTGCAGCTGATGGAGACCTCGCCATTGGATTCCAGCTTCTTTTTGGGGGTACCATGAGCCACACAGTAATCCCTGGTCCAGCTTAGCACTGGGTTATTTTACCCTAAACTGCCACCCTCTTGTCATTCCTGGAGCTGGGTGAGTCACAAATGTTGTCCCTCATCCCAGTTTTGGAAGCGAGAACAAAATGTGAAAGGCAAAATGTTCCAGCCTGTGCTGGAGCCTCTGAGGCTGGGGAGCAGAGGACGCACTCACAAATCATTCCCCAGCTACCAGAGAGCTGCATGGGAAACGCCCAGAGAAGAACCTTAAGACAAATGTATGTAGAACTCTTCAGCTGGATTTATCCGCCCAGCTCAAAGAACATCATCATAACCAGGATACAAGAGAAGAGTGTTCAGGGCAAGATGGTTGAACTGAGTCTCGGAGCTTGGTGGTGGGCAGGGACACCATCTGTGTTGACCCTGCAGATACTAAACATATCTGAGGTGGTTAGTGGAAAAACTACTCAACACTAATGGCAAAGCTTCTCTTTTTTGCTTACCCTTGTGATCAAGTGGGGTTTTAGATCTCCCCATGATCTCGTCCTCTGTGGCATTCAAGTTCTGGATCAAAAAGTATGTGGTCATTTTCCCTTTACCTTTCACTTCGATTTCACCCCTCTCAGTGATTTCAAACCCTTGATTTTTTAAGGCACTGCACAGAGAAAAAAAAATGCATCAGACATTAAAGATTGTGGGTCTGTAACTCAAGAGTTGGCTACAATGCAAAGGGCTACTCAAGAGGAAAAGTCCAGGACACAGGACACACAACAGCAGAGGAGGGAGGATCCCAGACATCAGCCTGCTGAAATGGGACAGAGGCTGTGGGGAAAGTGAGGATGAGATATTCAGGCCAAAAGAGAGCACAGGGACCCACCAGAACCCTCCCAAACCCTGCCACCAATTTTCCTCCCTCCAGCTCACCCCTCATCTGGGCATCTCTCACGTTTCTACACACCATGCTGTCAGTGCCCGTGAGGACACCACCTTTCATGGTTCTGCCACGTAACGCTCTTGGGTATCAGTACTCTTCTTTCCATCTTCCCCAAGTGCACCATATACCCCACGCTTGCTACTATGCTCATCCTAACTACCCAAGCTTTCTCCACCATAATTTCTGTCTGCAGAGGAACTGAAGAGGAGGACTATAGGGTAGGGACCATGAAAAGAGACAGAGCTACAGAGTAATTACAAAATGTTTTCCTGTTTATTTATTTACTGGCCACCAAGTGATGTTGGAGAAAAGCCAAAGAACCACTCAGACCAACGAGGATTCAAATTCATGACCACCTGCCTCGGCAGTCCATCGAGCCTTCCCTTGTCCTTGGCCAGGTTGGTAGAGAGTTCAGACCTTCACCACACTCCTCATGTGCCTCCATTTGGCATCTGCTCCCCTCACTTTTATGCTGGTGGCTGTGCCTCCTACCTTATGCCCTGATTCATCTAGAAAATTACATTAATTACAAGTGAGAGCCTGTGACTTCTCACCCCATGACCACACCATCTTGTCCCCCAATCTCTGAGGATGAGGTATCTTTCTTGTCCAGGGGCTCCTCACACATGCCCCCTTCCCACCACCTCTGGGCCTTGCTCCATTGGCCACCCCACCCTTATCTTCAGCTCCCACTCCATTTGCCTTTCTCCTTCTGCTTTTCAGTGTGCTTATGTCTCTTCCATCCTAAACAGAAGCAAACAAACAGCCTCTCACCTGCTTTAATCCTATAAAATTTTCTCTTCTTTTTATTCTTCAGCCCAATGTCTATCCCACCATTCTACTACAAAGACTTTTGAGAATGTCCCCAAAACCTCTAGTGAGTATTTTTCCGTCCTTATTACTACAATTGACACTTTTGTTCAATTCCTCCTTCCTACAGTCATCCACAAGAGTGCTTCTCACCCTGAACTCTCCTGGTCCTTTCTGACTATTTGTTCTCCGGTCTCTTCCCTGGGCTTGTCTTCCTTCTATGCCACTTAAATGTTGGTTCTGCACAGGATTCCTTTTTTTTGCCACTGTTCTTTGCATACTGCATCCTTCCCTGGGTTGATCCCATCAACTCTCATGACTTTAATTACCACCTATATGTTGCTTACTCCAAGTCTGGATCTTGAACAACTCAACTCCAAACTTCATCCATCCATTTTGTGGTACCTCTAGCTGAGTGTTCCACAGTTCCTTTGAACCCAATGTGTCCAACCTGAACTCATTGTCTGCCCCTGTGATCTGGGATACTTCTCATTTGTCCCATTGCAGATGGCGGGGCCACCATTCAAGCCCTAGTCACCCAGAATGGAGACCCGGGCTCCTCCCTTCTTCTCCTCCCCCATTTCTAACTAGTTTAGCTGGTTTTATTTTCCCCCATATTCCTACCACTAATGTTCTGATTCAGATCAAACTCCTAACAGGTCTCATCTATCTCATTTTCTGGTCCTCAAGTATGTCCTTTCAGGGTCTCTAGAGTGGTCAGTGTCAAATAGGACCCTGACCCTGTCACTGTCTTCAACCTCACACTCCTTGGGGGCTTTTCCTCACCTACGGCATAGGGCCCTTGCCCTTCAGCAAGGCATGTGCAGCTCTCATCACTCCTGTCTCATATTTTCCAATACAGAAAAGCTCAGGTGTTTATAGTTCTCTGCACCTCTTCTACATGTGAGCCTGTACCTGCTTTTTACTTCCAATACCCCAATTTTGGCTAAATTTTACTCTGGAACTCCTTTTTCAAGATTCAGCTCAGGAATCTCCTTCCCAAAGTCCTTTTTTATTACTGGGTCAAGCACCCTTGTCTGGGCTCTCATGGCACCCTCTGTGACTCCCTTGGGGATAAGAGTGCAGCAGTTAAAGGGAGGACTGTGAACCCTGACTTCGTGGGCTGCATGTAGGCTATTCTCCTTCCCAGCCTACCTGGTCCTGAGGCAAATGATTAACCTTTTTGTGCCTTTTCTTTCATGTACATAATAATAATGTATCTTCACAGAGCTGTTGCAACTGTAAATGAATTAACATATGAAAGAATTTAGAATAGAATGTGGCCTACTGTAAGTGCTCAAGAAACTGTATAGTTTTATGCACATATTTATCATTGTACTCCTCTCACTTTAAAAATAATTAACTGCAACTTTTCTTTTTTCTTCTGCTAGACCAAAGGTCAGCACCCTTTTTATATAAAAGACCAGAGAGTAAATATTTTAGACTTGGTACATCATATGGTCTCTGTTGCAGTGATTCAACTCTGCCTTTGTAGCATGACATCAGCCATAGACAATATGTAAATGAAAGCGCATGGCTGTGTTCCAAGAAAACTTTATTTACAAAAATGAGCAGCAGACTAGATTTGGTCTGTGGGGTAATAATTTGCTGTTCTCTGAACTAAACTACATGCTCCTTGAGAGTAAAAACTGTGTTACAGTTAGAAGCGCAACAAAATTTATTGTCTGCCACAATATCTTCTGAAAGCCATTGAGACATGGAAGAAAAAGCACGAGTTTCCTCCACTACCCCGTCCCATGGCTGCTAGGCACTCTATAAGTTCTGGAAAGAGGGAGGGACAAAGGAAGACATGAATAAATGGAAGGCTACCTGTAGGCTGTGGGGCTGAGGTGCACTTTGTTGGGAAGCCCATGACTTTCCATCCTAGAAGCTGTGTTCACAGTGTCACCAAACAAGCAGTACTGTGGCATCTTGTCTCCTACAACACCTGCTAAGACTGGTCCAGTGTGGATCCCCACTCTGATCTGTACAGAGAGAGCATCACTGAAAAGAGACCATCTAATACTCTTGCTTTTATTTGTAAGTTGAGATATAATTTACATAAAATTTTTAAAAAACAGATAGTAAAGTGTTTAGCTCCCTGAGTTTTGACAAGTGCTTATATCCCTGTAACCACCAGCCAAAATAAAATGTAAACTAGTTCCATTACCTTGCAAAATTATCTTGTGCACTTTCTAGTTAAGCTCTCTCCCCATCTTCTTCAGCAGAGATGACTACATTCTCATTTCTTTTTTCTCTTTTTTTTTTTTTTTTTGAGATGGAGTTTCACTCTTGTTGCCCAGGCTGGAGTGCAGTGGCGCGATCTCAGCTCACTGCAAACTCCGCCTCCCGGGTTCAAGCAATTCTCCTGCCTCAGCCTCCAGAGTAGCTGAGATTACAGGCGCCCGCCACCACGTTCGACTAATTTTTGTATTTTTATTAGAGATGGGGTTTCACCACGTTGGCCAGCTGGCCGGGTTGGTCTTGAACTCCTGAACTCAGGTGATCCACCTGCCTAATCTTCCCAAAGTGCTGGGAAAATAGGCATGAGCCACTGCACCCGGCCTTTTGTGTTTATTTTACCAAAGAATGATTTGCCTGTTCTAGAACATCACATACGTACAATCATATAGTATAAACTGCTTTTTATCTGGTTTCATTTACTCAACATAATGTTTTGAGATTCATCTATATTGTCTTACATATCAGTAGTTCATTATTTTTATCACTGAATAGTATTCTATTGTAAGAATACACCACATTCATTATCCAGTCTCCTTTTCATGAACATTTAGATTATTTTTCAGTTTGAATCTATTAAAATTAAGGCTGCTATAAGCATTTCTGTACAGATATTTTTGTAGACACGTTTTCCTTTCTCTTAAGTAAATACCTAGAAGTGGAATTTCTGAGTCACAAGGTAGATACATAATTTTATTTTTTAACAAAACAAACAAAAAAACTACCCAGCAATTCTCCAAAGTTGTTTTACTGTTTTACATTTCTATCAGCAACGCAACACTTTCAGATGCTCCCATTTTCACCATCGTTTGGTCTTCTCCAGGGTGTGAAATGATATCTCGCTGTGGTTTTAATTTGCTTTAAATTGGTGACTAATGATGTTAAGCACATTGTCACATACACATTGGCCGTTCACATATTTTCTTTGGTAAAGTCTGTCCAATTTTTTGCCTGTTATAAAAATTGAGCTGCGTGTCTTTTATTGTTAATGTGTATGAGTTGTATACATATCTGTATGTATTACAAATATTTTTATCAGTCTGTGGGTTTGTGTATTTATTTTCTTTAATAAGCAGAATTTTTAAATTTTGATGAATGTATTCATCTGCTTAGGCTGCCATAGCAAAATACCATAGATTGTGTAGCTTAAACCATGGAAATTATTTCTTACAATTCTGGAGCATGGAAGGCCAAGATCAAGCTGTGAGCAGGGTTGGTTTCTCCTGAGGCCTCTCTGCTTGGCTTGTAGATTGTCCACCTTTTTGCTGTGTCCTCACATGGTCCTTCCTCTGTGCACATGCATTCTTGGTGTCTCTTTATATCCAAATTTCATCTTCTTATACAGACATCAGGCACATTGCATGAGGGCTCACTCTTAAAGCCTCATTTTACTCAGTAAAGGCCCTAGCTCCAAAGACAATCATGTTCTGAGGTACTGAGTACTAGAGTTTCAAAATAAGAATTTTGGGTAGGACACAATTCAGCCTGTAACAATGAAATTTATCATTTTTTCACCCTTCATGGTGAGTGCTTTCTGTGTACTATCTAAAAAAAAAAAAAAAAAATTCATTTGCCCCAAAGTCATGATGCTATTCTTTATTTCCATCAAGAGGCTTTATGATTCTAGATTTTATGTTTAGATTTGTGATACATATCAAAAGATCTTTTTGTATATGGGGTGAGGTAGAAGTGAGGTACATTTTTTCTTTCCATATGATATTCAGTGGTACCAGAATCCTTTTTTTAAAAACAGGTTGGCTTCCCCACTCAATTGTTTGATGACTTGGTCAAAAATCAATGGACTAAACATGAGTCTATGTCTGGACACTCTGTGCTGCTCCAGTGGTCTCTTTTTCTGCTCTTCTCCCAATCTAACTCTGTATTTTTTTACTGTTGCTTTAGAATAAGTCTTAAAATTAGTTGTGTACATCCTCCAATTTTGTTATTTTCTAAGATTGTTCGGGTTAGTCTAGGTTCTTTACACTTCCATATAAATTTTTAAATTAACCTATGACTATTTTCTAAGAAGCTTGCAGGGATTTTGTTTGGTATTCTGCTGAATCGATACATCAATTTGGGGAAAACAGACAGCTTAAATATATTGAGTTTTCCAATGAATATGGTGTATGTCTCCATTTAATTAGGTCGTCTTTAATTTCCCTATGCAATATCTTGTAGTTTTAAGCATAGAGGTCATGTATATCTGTTGTTAGATTTATTCCTAGAAATTTAAATAATTTTATTTTCTTTTTATTTCATTTTTCAATTTTTTTGTCCTTAGCATATAAAAATTTAAATAATTTTCCTGTATTTATGCTATGACCTTGCTAAACTCATTTATTAGACTTTGTAGTTTCCTGTAGTTTGTATAAGATTTTCTAGGTGAACCATTATTTGTTCTGTGAATAATGATAATTTTATTTCTTCATTCATTTCCAAACTTAATGTCTTATATTTATTCTTCTTGCCTTAGTGCACTGGGTAGGGTTTTTGGTATACTTAACTAGAAGTGGTTGTCTTTGTATTTATTCTGCTTGGGTTTGCTGAGCTTTGGATATGTGCATTGATATCCTTCATGTTGAAAAATTCTTAACTATTATCTCTTGAAATATTTCTTCTTACCCATTCTCACTCTGTTCTCATTCTAGCATTTCAGTTACGTATATAGGAGTCCATTTGACATTGTCCTACAGATATAGAGTGTCTTGCTCCCCTTTTTCACTCTGTTTTCTTCTTTGAATTTCAGTTTGGATTATTTCTATTTCTCTGTCTTCAAATTCCCTCATTTTTTTCTCTATTGTGTCTAGTCTTTATTAAGCCCATAAAATTAATTCTTTATTTCTGATTTCTGAGATCATAATTTTCTATTAGATATAGATATAGATGTAAATATAGATAGTATGTATGTATTTCCCATATCTTCACACTTGTTTTGCCTCTTCTAGACTCTTTAAAATATTTATCAGACTTATTTTAAAAATTCTATCTGATAATTCCAACATCTAGGCTATTTTTGGACCTGCTTCTATTGACTATTTTCTCTATTGGCTATCCACTATATTACCATTTTCTTGATTCTTCTTGCATCTCATATTTTTTATTATTTAATTGAATGATCCATATTGTGGGTGAAAATACAGTAGAGACTGAAGTAGATAACATTTATCCCCCAGAAAATGTTACATCCCTTCAGAATTAGGCTGCTGGAATGGGGAGTAATCTAATCCATATTTGAGTTGGGTCAGGGCTTTTCTGGAAATAATGGTAGATTCCATGCACCACAGGTTTCAAATATTATGAAGGCTGAATCAGAACTTTCAGTACAGCAGAACTTAGAATCTGAGCACCAGCAAGGCTCTGAGGACCTTGAGTGCTGTACAGCCCATCCACCAGCTTTTGGAGTTGTAGGAGATCTCCTTCTGCAGTACAGTCCAACAGTGAGATTTTCAGAAGTCTCTTTGCTCTTCAGTCCCACCCTGGCTCTCTGCACTTTGGGAAAATTTTCTCTGCCATTCCTCCTTGCCCTCAGACTTCAAAAGGTCATCGTAGTGTACTTGGTGAAGATGAAGAGTACTTCAGTTGGATTTCTCTCGGTTACCTTACTCTAACATTAGCCTTTAATGGGCCACCGTTTTGCATTTGGGAAAGGCCCCAAACACCCCAGGGACTCAGGAGTTCTCTCAGCTCTCCTCTCCTGTCCTAGTCTTTGGCTGACTAACCCGCCACACTTGGCCTATGAGGAAGAGTTGGTAGATGGGTCCAGACTCTGTGTCTGCTGCTCTCTGGCATTGTAACCTGTTGTTTCAGCCCTGTGACCATTAAAAACCCACTAAAATTTAGACGGGCTTATCCCTACCCTCACCTCTGCAAGATTACTTCTTCTGCTGCCCTGCCAGGATTGAATGCAATTTTGAGGGTCTTCTCTTTGAAAGGGTTTGTTACTACCTGGAATTTAGTTTACTTTGATTCCTTTGCTTTCTGGTGGGGAATAAAAATAAAAATTAAAAATTAAAAACTACTAGCATGGGAGTAACAGTCTCTTGCAGCTTTCTACATCCTAATCAGATTGCTTGTTGTTTTTACTTGCTAGATTTTCTTCTCCTTGAAATAAAATTATAACTTCCTCTAGAAAAAGAGGATTCTCTGAACCCTTCAAGGCACCTAGTAATACTGTCTCATACATGGACAGATCTCAGTAAATGTATATTAAAGCTATCTGAATAAAATAATAGGATATCTCAGTGCAAAATAATTTTTAAAATGTAGAAATGGCAGCACAATTCTGTTAAGAGAGAAAGTGTTTCCAGTTCTTTCACCTACATCCTCGGATAAACCCATATGATATGCTCTTTCTGGTGGATATTTAATGATGCTCCTAATTATGTCCATATTCTTACCTTGGAATTGCTAACATCTTTTCCTGTTTTTTTCTTGGTAAATCCACCTTGAGTGTTTCCCAGAATTCACTGTCTATTTCATTCTTATTGGTATAGCATTATTTTCATCTCTAGTGCTATGCCCCTTTCATACACACATGCACACACACATACGCGTGTGCACACACACTCACACACGCACACACGTGCATGCACACACACGCACACACACACACACGCACACACACGCACGTACGCACACACGCACACACACACACTACACTTTCTATTTTTATTTTTATTTTTTCACCAGTGACTTATACAAGGGTCCCTTAACTGAAACATTTATCTCTTATCTAATTTTCTTATATCTCTTCCCTCATTACCTCCCATCCTGATTTTTTATTTATTACATTGGATTTTTATTCCACTGATGCACACGGTGTTTGCAATGAGTCATTATGGCAGCTGTCTTGTTCTTGTGACTATCTAAGGCCAGCTTCTACTTAGAAGACTACAGTGAATGCTGTAGCCATGAGCCGCACTGCTCAATGCTGTAGCCATGAGCTGCACTGCACTGGTCAGAGTAAGTGCAGCACATTTTCAGACTCTCCTGTAAAAAGGTTATAATGTGAAAAAATCATAGTCCATCTTATAATTGGCTTTATTTTGAATTGACTCATTTATTTTGAATTTCTGATATTAGCAAGAGAAGGATCTAGAAATCAAAGGCAGACGGACGCCACTCTCAGCCATCCCAGGAGCATTAGGATCTGCTGAGCCAGCGGAGGAGGACATTCATTTTTCATCTCCAAAACTGTTCAACTTTTAGAGTGTGAACAAACTTCCAGACTTGGAAACATACTTTTCTGTGAGAAAGGCAAGCAGATGTCTCGCTAGTGGCCACGTGGTGGAAGGAAAGCCATTCTGAATATCTTATGGCATCACGGTGCCTGGCCTGCTGACTGCAGGCAGCTTCACACCTCAGTCTGAGTTCTGAACCTGTCAGATGGCATGTTGGAGACACAATTTCATAAGCAGGAAAAGTTGGCTGCTCAGTAAACCTGAACCACTTGTTGAAATGCTTGAACAAAAAAGCAGGAATTATAAATGAGCTGGGTTTTAAGATGGATTGAGCCCTGCTAGATAAATAGGAAGAACTGCTCAGCACTGTCCTAAATTACTGACAAAGGAAGCTTACAGTCAACTGTAGGAAAACCTTGAGCACTGCAGCCTCCTCTGAAATTCGAGAAAAGTTGAGACTATAGTAGCCTTAGGAATATCTCTATTAGGAACATATGCAAGAGAAGAAAAGGACTAGGATACATTACCCATTTTAATGACAGCAACTTACCCAGTAATCACCTAAGCACATAAGCAGAAGTTTACTTTTGTGTGTGAGATGTTTGGCATTAAGCCAAGTACTCAGTCGCCCTCTACCTGGATGGGTTCTCCAGTAACAGGATTCATCACTTCCTTTGCAGAAATTCTCATCCCCACGGCAAAATTAGCCACTCTTTGAGCATGGCTTCCAGTAGGCACTGGTACTCCTTCTACCACCATATATGCATCTCCTATTGTTTCTACCTGTCAGGAAAAAAAAAATAGGTATTCAGAGGGTTTCCTTCATGCACTAAACATGTCACTATGCTTTTTTTCATTTTGCATATATTGACAAAGGGACTATATTAAAGCTGGTGATTGATTCTTTGCTAAGGGTATGAGGAGCATGAGGGAGGAAGTGAGAAGGAAAAGGACTCAGGAAACAACCATAAAAGAGCCAAAAGGCCTTTCTGCTTTGGGTGGAAACAAATTCCAGAGAAGAGGAAGGTCCTGGGGTAGTCATGTGATGCTATATATGAGATAACACATTGTTTGGATTCGACTTTCTGCTGAATTTAGGAGTAGGAAAACGATGCTCTAGGGCAACAGTGTTTGCCCTTCAAGGGCACCAGAGTGCCATCTTAGCACTGAGTATTGTAAAAAGAATTCCTAAAAACTAGAATTCCTAAAATACTTCCCATTCCCTTTCAGCTCTTATTCTGAGCCCACACTCATCCACACCAAACCCCAGACCAGTGAAGACAGAGGCAAAGGAAGACTTAGAATCAAGCACTTGCCCTGCGTGAGCACACTGTGTAACACCCCACACTGCACAGACGCTTACTTTATAGACTGTGTGCACACTGGTTAATCTGTCAAACTTGGAGTACATGGAGTTCAGCATGTTCACTATGTGTATAGGTTCACAGGCAGCACGGATGTCAGTAAATGTCACCACATCGCTGAAAAGAATCGTGCAGCTTTTAAATTCTCCTACAACAGAAACCAGGTATCAGTGAGAACCAAGGAGATAGACTAAGAAGTTCATGAATTCTGGATTCAGAGGCCCTTTGAGAATCAAACCTGCCTGTGGCTTGTGGGAAAAGGAGCCAGACACCATTCCCCATTCAGCATCACTCAGCAAATGTTTACTGAGTGCTCGCTGCAAGCTAGTCACACTAGGAGAATCATATCACAGGGGGCAAGCAGACCAGGCCCTCACCCCCAAGGAGCCCGCAGTCGAGTGAAGGAGACAGAAAAGTGAACAAATGCTTCTAGTAAGATGCAACCAGTGCTGTGGGAGGACAGAAAGGGTCCCTAGTAAGTGGACCAAGCAGAGCCGGAGCTACAGGAGACATGGGGACAGGGCCGACAGAGACTGGTCACTGTGAAGTGGTAGCTCCCCGTCTTTGTATGGCAGGGAAGCTACCTTGTCCTTAACACTTGTTTGTAAGTCATGCCCCTGATTCCACCTTGGCCCCCATTCATGCTAACTTCCACATAGCAACCAGATGCCCTGTTTAAGTCAGATCTCCCATTCTTCAATCTCCAATCTTTCATGATTCCATCACACTGAGAGTGCAACCCAATGCAACCCAGGCCTGACCATGGCCTACAGAGGAGACACCCCACCTCTGTCCCTGCCACCTCTCTGACCCTATGTCCTTCCGGCTCCCTCCACTCTGGCCACACTGGCCTCATGGGGTTTCTCCAACATGCCAAGTGCCTCCTGCCTTCGGGCTTCTACACCTAAAAAAGGAGGTGTTTCCTCTGCCTGACAGTTTTCTCAAATATCTACAGGGCCTGTTACTCACATTTCAAATGTAACCAACTCAGTGAGAATTCTCTTGACCACCCTATATAAAATAGCCCCTAGACTGGCTATCCTCTTAGCTTGATTGCCTTCCACCCACTCCATACACATGTGACGTTATGTATATATATGTGTGTGTGTGTGTGTGTGTATGTGTGTGTGTGTGTGTGTGTGTGTATATATATATATATATATATTTGAGACAGAGTCTCGCTCTGTCATCCAGGCTAGAGTGCAGTGGCACGATCTCGGCTCACTGCAACCTCTGCCTCTTGGATTCAAGCAAATCTCCTGCCTCAGCCTCCCAAGTAGCTGGGCTGTCCTACCAGCACACACTGCCATGCCCGGCTAATTTTTTGTATTTTTAGTAGAGACAGGATTTCACCATGTTGCCCAGCTTGGTCTCAAACTCCTCAGCTGAGGCAATCCGCCAGCCCAGCCTCCCAAAGTGCTGGGATTACAGGCGTGAACCACTGCGCCTGGCCCAGTATTTTGTATGGAATGGTTTATTTGGTCTTTGTCTACCTCTGCATTAGAATACAAAGCTCCATGAGATGGAAGACTGTCAGTTTAGATCTCTGCTGTATCCCAAGCACCTAAAGCAGGGCCTGGCACATAGTAGATGCTCAATAAATATTAAGTGAGTGAATCAATGACTCCTAGAACACAGCCGGGTGCCTACTTTGTTAGTTAAGCCTCTAGTTGTAATTCCCTCTTCGTGGAACTTTCTCTTCTCCTTGGCTTCTGGCCTATCATCCTCTCTTCATATTCCTCCTAGCTTTCTGATCTCCTTGTTTTATATCTTTCCTTGGCTTCTCAACCTTCTTAAGTACTAGATGTTCCCTGAACAGTAATACTCCACTGTCTTGTCACTTCCTGTCCTCTAGGTGATCTTATCCACCATTCACAGAGTCTATGATTAACCCCGCCCACATTGCAATAACTCCCAGATGTATAGCTCCATGCCACAATGTTCCCTTGAGCTCTCACTAAGATTCCTACCTCTGATCATCCTATGTGGAGTATCCCACAGACATCTCCAGCTCAGTGGTTCTAAAATAGACCTTATCATTCTCCCCCAACCCTGCTCTTCTTTCTGGCCCTGCCTTATGATAAATCATCCCATTTTTCCATGCAAGAAGCCTCAGACCCATGCCTGCCCCCTCTGTCTTACCGTCCCCATCTGGTCAGTGGGGAAATCCTGCTGATTCTTCCTCAGGCTGCCCTAGTTCAGGCCTCTACCATCAATCAGCTGCGCCCTTACGGGCTTTCAGCCCCACCTCACGCATTCACTACACTGCAGCCCAAATTGGATTTATAAAGCTCATCATGTCACTTCCATAATAAGAGAAGAAACTTCAATGAATTCTCACTGCCTACAAAATAAAAGACAATTTCCTTTTCCTTAACAGTCCAGATTAATCACTGCATCACCTGAACCTCACCCTACCCACTCAGCCTCACCAGACCCCACTTTTCCACATACCTCATGCTCTGGGAACATGCCCCATGGTATTTATTTGCACCTTTGCTCTTAGTAGCCCATTCTCCGGAAATGCCTTTTTCCTCTTTGCTTGCTGAAATTCAGCCTCAAGGCCCAACTCAAGTGTCACACACTCTTGAGAGGTACCTCCACAACCCCAACTGGCCACCCTATCTCTTTCTCTCCTGACATCTCTTTATTATTAATTTCCTTGTCCCCGTGTTGCCATAGCACCTTATGTGATGGAAAGAGTATGGATTTTGAAGTTAGATGGCCTTAACACAGTTACTTTCCAGCTCTTTCACTTATCAGCTGTGCTGAATGTCAATTTGCTCAGCATTATGGCATGGGCAATACCTCCCTCATAGAAATGTTGAGAAAATTTAATGAAACAGCACATGTAAAATGTCTAACACGGATCCTGGCACAATAATTTCTCCTTAATGCAGATTAATTTCTTTTCCATTGGTCATTTCTACATCCATTAATTTATTCTGCATATATCTATCAAACTCACAAGTCTGTAAACTCCTCTGTGTCCCCAGATCTGGAACAGCACCCTAGCACAGAGTAAGTTCACCAGGCGTGTCTGGTGAATGAACACAGTCCCGTGACAAATGGAAAGTGAGTTCAGGGTAAACACGGCATCCCTGCCTCCATAAATAGTATACTGTCCCAGAATGATCCTCAGAGGAATGCTGTGATTTAACCGGTGTGCGAGTGTATTATTTTTAGTTACAGTTAAGAACCCTACTCATTGTCACTGAGTAATGAGGCCAGTCTCAGGGTACATCCTTGCATTCTTAGAGAACCTAATGTGTATGTAGTTGACAACCATTTTTATATAATTCATGTTTTACTCCTGTATTATTTTTATTATTATCAATGTAGAGAGAACAAAGCTGAGAATATACAGGTGGAGTAATTATCCCAAGATCATGTCACTTACAAGTGACAGAACCAGAATTCAAAACCACTTCTGTCTGGCTTCAAAACCTGTGGCCCTGACCACTAAGACATACCACCTTCTGCTCAGAGGTCCCCGTGCAGGAGAGGGTGCCTTACCTGCAGACACCTTTTTGCCCTCCCTCAACTGGTTGGCCACATGTTTGGGCAGCATGGCATAAAGCAAGGTCTCTGTTTTGTTCTTTTCAGTGGCCAAGTGCTTGGAGAGGACCCGTAGCTCTTCCTTCTTCTTCATTTTCAGCTGGTTGGACAACTCTATCTTAGCCAGCCGCTGCTGGTTCAGGAGGATGAGATCCCTGGTGGTGTCATCGGGTCGATGTCAGAAAGATGCATATTGAGTCTTCCAGCTCGTACAGGCTGCGGAGCTTCAGAGAGCACAGGTACACCATGCACTGCATGGACTCCATCCAGATCATCTGGCCTTGCCATCATGGAGAGAAATGCAACAATATTGTATGTCACCAGTAGGGGCTGAGACAAGCTCGCTGGACAACCAATCATCTCCCACACTGTGTGCTTCTAGTCACTGCACAGTCACGCTCCTTCTCTTTTACCCAAGGTCCATGAGACCTTACTCATCTCCCCTCTTTCCCCAGCAGCTCTGTCCATTGCCTCCATTGAAGTGGCTCCCATCTATCAAGGGCCTCCGTGCAACTGATACCAACACAAGTTTCTTGGATTTTTCTTTACTCAGCCCTTTTACTGTGTGATGATGTTAACCAGACCCTCCTTCCTGAAATCTCACTTCCTAGGACTTCTCTGCACTGCTTTCTCTCTGAGATGTCCCCTAATTCTTTGAATTTTATTTACATTATTTTAATCTCATTCCTTAAACGCTAGTGTTCCTGAGGGTTCTGTCTTGGTATTCTCGTTTAGCATCACACAGCTGCATCCTACACCATGCTGACTGAATCTGAATTTCCAGAGAAACCTTGCCTCCTGAACTCAATATGTGTATTTCTTTAAAAATAGATATGTTTGTTGTTATTGTAAAAGCAGTACACATTCATTGCAGAAAACAAAAAAAAGTGAAAGAAAATAGTAAATATCACCCACAGTCACACCACATGGATAATTACTGTTAATATTTTGTAGTACATCTTTGTTTTACAAAAAAAGAGGGATTACATAGCATCTTCTTTTCATAATCTGAACTTTTCACTTAAAATATATCACATATTCTTTCATAGTATTACATATAGATATGTATCTTAATTTTTGCTGGTTACCTTGCTCATACTGTATTTTATTAAATAATAAGTTAGTACTGATTATATTATATCTAGCTTATTGTATAAACAACATTGTGATGAATAAGCTTGAGGCAGTCTTTGTGTATAATCATGGCTAGTTAGTTTGTTAAAAGATATATTCTTAGACACGGGTTACTTAGACAAAGAATATGCTCATTTTTAAGGCTTTTGATACATATTGCCAAAATACCCTCTAGGATGATTGCGACAATTAATAACTCCATGAACAGTGTTTTTTTTTTTCTTCTGTTCTCCCTATCAGTTGTCTGTTCATGGATATCTGAACTGAACTCATCTTCAATCCCCTCCATAAATCTTCTCTTTCTATTAGTTCTTTCATTACATATGTAGTTAGTCCCTATGATGAGCCAGGCATACCATTTTAAGTATTGGGGATACAGCAGTAACTCAAACTGACAAAAATCCCTGTCTCAAGACATTATATCATGTCTTTTTTTCAGTTAATTGCACCTTCATCACCCAGTTACCCAAGCAAGGAAGCTAATAATTATCCCAATGATTCTCTTCCACCCCCGACATCAGGTCACCAAGTCCTGCCTTAATTATCTTGTGAGTTTATCCTCCAAATGCCACCCCAGTGCCACTGCCAGAGTTCAGCACCTTAGAGCTTCTTTCCTGCACTCCAGAAGCAGCCTCTGTCTGGCCTCCCAGGATCCATTTTCTCTACACTCTGACCCATCCTTCACACACCTCCAGAGTGATCATTCTAAAATCAAATCTGATAATGGCAGACACTTCAACATGTTTCCAGCTGCAGGATAGAGTTCAAGTCCTCATCTTGCCAGCCTCCTCTCCCATCACTCCACTCTACATCTCACTCAGGCTCCCAGAACATGTCATTCTCCCGTCAGACATCCCCCCAGCTCTGCCTGTGCTTATCCCTGGAATACCTAATCATCCCTCTAATAGAAAGATAGCTCAAAATGTGTGCCCTTTCATGGCATATACAAAAATTTGCTCAAAATGAATCAAAGACCTAAATGTAAGAGCTAAAACTATAAAACTCTTAAAAGAAAACATAGAAGAAAAGTTTCATAACATCAGATTTGGCAACAATTTCTTGGATATGACACCAAAATCACTGGCAACAAAAGAGAAAATAGATAAATTGGATTTCATCAAAATTAAAATCTTTTGTGCATCAAAGGACACAACCAACAGTGAAAAGGTAACACACAGAATATATTTGCAGATTATATATCTGATAAGAGGTTAATATTCAGAATGTATAAAGAAATTCCTACAACTCAACCACAAAAGCAAACAACCCAATTAAAAATGGACAGAAGACTTGAGTAGACATTTTTCTGAAGAATAGGTAGAAATGGCCATTAAAGATTCTCAATATCAATAATTATTAGAGAAACACATATCAAAAGCACAATGAGAACACAATCAAAAGCACAACTTCACACCCATTAAGATGGCTACTATTTTTTTAAAAGCAGACAATAAGTGTTCATGAGGATGTGGAGAAACTGGAACACTCATCCATTTTGATGGGAATGTAACATAGAGCAGCCACTATGAAAATCAGTATGGAAGTTCCTAATTTTAATAAATTAAAAATAGAATTACCACAAAATCCAGCAATGCCACTTTTGGATATATATTCCAAATAAATGATGGCAGGGACTCAAAGAGACATTCACACACCCACCCTTATAGTAGTAGTATTATTCACAATAGCAAAGTTGTGGAAGAAACCAAAGTGTCCATTGATGGGTGAATGGATACAGAAAATGTTGTATATTCATACAATGGAATATTATTCAGCCTTAAAAAGGCAGGAAGTTCGGACACATGCTACATTATGGATGAACTTTAAAGACATTATGCTAATTGAAATAGGCCAGTCACAAAAGGACAGGTACTGTATTATTCCACTTATATGAGGTATCTAGACTTGTCAAATTCATAGGAACAGAAGGTAGAATGCTGGTTGCCAGGGAATTGAGGAAGGACAAATGAGTTATTGCTTAAGAGGTAGAGTTTCAGTTTTGCACAATATGAAAAAAGTTCTGGAGATAGATGGTAGTGATGGTAGTACAACATGTGAATGTGCTTAATATCAATGAATTATTCATTTAAAAATTATTAAAATGGTAAATTTTGTTATGTAAATTTTGCTCAATTAAAAACAAAATGTGTGCCCTACTAACAGTGAATTAGATGATCATGTTACTACATAAAATACAGACATTAATTTAATACCAGTAATACCTCATGCATTCTGAAAATTTTGGTAACATCAGAATTTTGTAATTACATAATGTATATAATTTTATAATTATGTATGTAACTATATTACATATATAGTTTACGTCTAAACCAGAGATGGTTGAGGAAATAAAATACATTCTTTACAGATCAAGTCAAGTGGAAAGGTCAGAAAAAAGAAAATGTGTTCTCAACGTAGCCCCTATCCCACTTTTTAGGAAATTGGAAAACTTTGCGTCTTCCCTTTCTGATCAATCTCTCAAACAGGCAGGGAGCAACAGGAAAGGAGTGAGTGATTACCTCGAAATTTGAGTGTGGTCTGACTTTACCATGCTACAGGCATCATTTCTCTTCGTGTCTTCAGGACAAATTGACTGTTGATAAATTTGCAGATGCTGAAAATGTTGAAGGTAACTTGAGGATGAAAGATGGAGAAATACTTATCCAGTTGAATCTTCTGGGTTTGGAGTCCTGGCACGTAACTTCTGAATGTCACTCCAGCTTGCTTTACCTGTAGCTATCCACAGAAGACAGATATAAGACAGGAATAGAAGGCGACCCCCCTCCCCATAAACTTCCCCTTGGAAATAACGTTCTAGCCATGTTCTGTGGCTCACTGTCGGGAAAGGGGGTCAGTAATGGAATCAACATCATGGAAGTAATAATTTTTTTTGAAACAATCAAATCTGTGCTAATGTCTGAAAGAGAAAAGAATAGTATGAGAGTGCTCAGAGGCTTATTTCTGACTAAAGAGAAATGAGGTTACAGCTCTCTATTGGGCTAATAGTTCCTCCCTAGCTCTGAGACAACTCTCTCTCTATCATTTGCTAATGAAGAAACTAGCAAATTCTACAGCATTGGATCTATTACCCAGGTCTGGATGAAGAAATTCATCAGGGAGGTGGGGAGATGCCTTTCACTGCTATCACCAGTGAACACACAGAAGGAGGAAGTAAAATAGGTGTCCTTTTAATGAGTTCCTAATCAATTCAGTTGACATATATTTTATCCATGGAAATGGATTAACAATCAAACTTAAATAGCTATGCTCACAACTCTCACAGAGCAGTGGCTTGAGTTGGCATGACCCTTTCCCCATGTTCAAGATGCAGAATGTGAAGCTAGGTGGGATGGAGACATACCTGGTGGCCACAAGGATGGGAAGAATTCACGGGTAGAATTCCACCCTATCATTGCTACTGATTGTGTTCTGCTGTCTGTTTATGTAGTGAATTTTAGTGTCCCTTCCTTTTCCCCTTTTTTCTAATGGTAAACTTTCCCATGCTTTTACTAGTTCAAACCTCCCTTTCTACCCTATCAAGAAGCTCCTGCATTCTGGATTCTGGAGGATACCACAATACGAAAAGGAAATCAATAGTCCTGCCAGGGTAGAGCCTAGTCTCCCAAGTCCTGGGGATTTCTCAGGGACTTGAAAATCTCCACTGTTCATGAAGGACTATAAATCATGCTCACTTCCCTGGCTTAGCCCCAGTCCCAAACTATTTAGGGAAGAGTCTCTTACTGATTCATCAAATACAATGTGGAAAGGAAAAGCGTTGCAGAATGTCTTCTCTTCAATCCAGAGTCTCTCAGGATAAATGGGCTCAAAGGCATTCATGAGATGCCCTGGACGTAGAGAAAGTACTGATGAGAAGCAGCTCCTGCCGCCACCCTTGCACAGAGCAGAGCTCAGGATAGGGATAGTATCTTAAGTGTTTCACAAGCAAAGTGCAATCCTACTTCTTTTGCATGGGCTCCCTCAGCATCTCCAGATGGCCACGGCAATTCTTCTTCCAAATTAAAACAAACAGAAAACTTGCTACCAGGTTGAGAAGCCCTTCTGCCCCCTGCCAAGTTTCTGCCTGCCGCTGAAGAGTTTCTGGGCCAATTGAGTACGTCTCGCCATGAACACAGAGTCGGCATTGAAATGGTGACAGCCAGACAATGAGCCAGCAGAGCAGAGCGTGTGCTCCGGGCCTAGCATCAGGGACATTTGCCATGGAGCTTTTTAGACTGACAGTTTTGGGTGGCACGTGAAAATTTAACCAACAGTCCTATTTGGCAGGGGGTAGAGATTCGAAATGGAGCCTTTTTGATATGAAAATCTCCTAGACAAAGGATGTCAATTGCATGTTTGACTCACTTGCCATGGCTTGAAGGACGCAAAATGCAGCCCTTTGAGCCCTGCAGACCTTCTCCCAGATGCGTGTCACCTGGCCCATTGAGCCGTGACACAGAGCACCCTAACTCCCTTCTCCCAGTGGATCAGAGCCCTTATTCAGACTCAGGCGTTAGGTGCTAATCGTTAGACCGGCTCAGTGCCCACGGGGCTACCTTAGCAAGCCTAATGCCTGCATTTTGCAAATGAGAAGATGGAGACTCTTGTCCAGGGTCACACAGCTCCTTAGGCACAGAGCCAGAAACTTGCTTTCTTGGCTCTTGATCTAGTGGCCTTGCTGGGTGACTAAGGTTGTTATCCATAGATCTCCAGTCCAGAAATGTGTCCAAATGGAGAAGGCCTGACTGCAGAAGAGGAGCTGTGGAAAATTCATTGTTCCTGATGGCACATCAGTGCTCATCTTCCTTCTCTCCACCCATCACCTGTTGGGAGTGATTCCAATTGTGTCTCCAAAAACTTTTTCTTAGGACAGGAGAGACGATGTCTCCATGTGACCCAGCACAAATAATGAGAGGCAATGGAAGGACAATTAGAGTCTGGCATTTTAAAGTTAAAAACCACGGCCGACAAATCCAAGTGTTGCGGAAACTAGTGCCATGATAATCACAGAGGGCTTGGCCCCGTCAGTGTACACTGGCAGCTACTCCTGAGAATCAGGCAGTCTTTCTGATCTCAGAGCTGAGCTTGGGAGAACCACTCACTTACCTTTTCCAAACATGACTATGCTTCTCACAACATCCCAGTGGGATTTTTTCACAGGACAAGCAGAAACATTCAAATATTTCTTCTTCATCCTGAGGAAAGCTGCCTGGAGGGCCTGCAGATGGCAGGGAGATAGGCACCTGGTCACATGACTGGAGAAGCACAAACCCCATTTGCTGTGATGGGGTCCACCTTTAACTAAGGAACTGTGCCATGGCCAGAGGAACAGCATGAGGGCTCACAAGATCAATTCTACCAAGATTTTAGCGTTTCCGATATTTTTAAATCAAATTAGTCCTCATACTGTTTCTCTATCAAAGAAAGCCATAACTTTTTAGAAAATCTCAAGACAGAACTAAGATGCTATCTGGCAAGAAAATCATGCACGAACATTTCTTCCTGTGGTTGAAGATTCTGCAGTGAACAGACTCTGAGGTGGACTTTGAAAATACTCTAAGGAATCACAGACTAATCCTAATCTGAGTATTTTCACAGCTAGAAGTGGAGAGCTGTTCACCAATGTACGTTAGCGTGAACAGTACCATTATTAGGCCTAATGTAATGTAATGGTCACCTACCAGGTGCAACTGAGTGGCCAAGTACAGGTCTTGAGTTGACCAGACCGTGAATGGTTCCGCTGCAGAAGTGGGCACTGAAGACTGGAAAGATCAATTTATTTGAGGAGGATTGAAAAAAGCCATTCAAGTTCAAATTTCAAATCCTTCATATGGTTATTCTTATAGGTGATAATTTTCCAGGCTCAGGTACATTCCAGAATGCTTCCCAGCATATATCCACTTAACCTTAACCCAGCAATCCTCAACTGGGAATGATTTTCACATCCCCCACTATTCGGACACTTGGCAATGCCAGCAGACGTTTTTTTTCTTCTTTCTTTCTTTTTTTTTTTTTTTGTGCCACAAATGAAGGGATGAGGTTCTACTAGTAGGGAAAAGACCAGGGATGCTGCTAAGGACACTATAATGTAAGAGACACACCATCAACACCAAAGAATTATCTGGTTCAAAATGTCAGTTGTGGTCAAATTGAGAAGCTCTGCCTTAATTCCCACTATTAGAAGGTCCAGTCAGTCTCCCATCCAAGCACTAACCAGGACCAACCTTGCTTAGCATTCCAGATCAGTCATGTTCAGGGTGGTATAGCTATAGACACCTCATTAAGTGGGAGTTGAACAGATGAGACACCATGGACACAGGGAGAGAGAGAATCACACATTGAGCCTGTCAGAGGATGGGGGACAAGGAGAGGGGAGGCATTAGGACAAATACCTAATGCATGTGGGGCTTAAAACTAGATGACGGGTTGATAGGTGCCAGCAAACCATCATGACACATAATACCTATGTAATAAACTGCACGTTCCAAACATGTAACCCAGGACTTAAGGAAAATGTAAAAACAAAAACAAAAAATTCAAAGGTCCAGTTGATTCTGTTGTTTGCATAGATTTTTCCAAGACTGATAGCTCTACTTAAGTGCAACTGTCTTTCTAAAGGCATAGCAACCCAGTACCTCTTGGTCTCTCTCGATGCCTGACTGTCTTGTAGCCTTTTTGACTTTGCCTTTCTCATCTTCTGTAAGCCTTCAGAAACACAACATGCTCCTTTTCCTGTCCTCTCCACTCTTCATTCATGTCAAGAATGTCCATGGTTACCTCAATGTCAAAGAAGTCTTTGGCCACAGCCTCAATGATACCTGCAGCAGAAGACACCTATTGTTGAGGGATGGCCGAAGCAATTTTATCAGCAAAAATCATAAAATAATCAAATTGTAAAACTTCTGATGAATATTCTGAAGTTCACCAAGCCGCAGGCCCTGCTTTAAATCAGACATCAGCAACAACCAATTAAATAAAAATATGCAGAGACCTGAAGTTATACATGTTTGGATACCAATATATTCCATGCCACTTTAATTTCTAGTTTGGCATCTATTCATTGTTTGTTATTTCAGGTAGGCATTTAACTCATTAAACAAACAAATAAACCTTAGAGATAATATAAGTAAATTCAGTTGTAAAAGATTTAAGGATCAAGTTTTTAAAAAGTGTTCCTCTGGGCACTATCCCAGGGTTATATACAAAATACGAGGGAAAGGCCGGGCATGGTGGCTCATGCTTGTAAATCCAGCACTTTGGGAGGCCGAGGCGGGTGGATCATGAGGTCAGGGATCGGAGACATCCTGCTTAATACACGGAAACCCATCTCTACTAAAAATACAAAAAATCAGCCAGGCACGGTGGCGGGCGCCTGTAGTCCCAGCTACTCGGGAGGCTGAGGCAGGAGAATGGCGTGGAACCGGGAGGTGGAGCTTGCAGTGAACCGAGATCACTCCACTACACTCCAGCCTGGTGGGGATAGAGCGAGACTCCATCTCAAAAAAAAAAAAAAAAAAACAAAAAAAAAATATATAATAATAGTCAATATATATATTGGTATATATGGAAAGCATGCATGAAGATGTTCATGATAGCATTGTTTACAAAAGCAAAAGATTAGTATCAATGGAAAATTTAATAATAGGAGATTAGTTCAGATAATTACAATATGGAATATCATTCAGCCATTTAATATGTGGTTTTAAAGATTATGTGGAAACATGCTTTTTCTACAATGCTAAATGCAAATAAAGAGTTGATACAAAATAATATATGCAGAATTATCACAGCTATGTAAAAACCTGTATAATTTAAAGTGTTGAAAGAAAAATACAAATTATTCATTTTTGTGGAATTTTGGAAACATTTTAAAAGCTCAAGGACTTTGGGAGCAGTGGTCAAGATGATATGAAGTCACACATTCTAAGAGAGTTTTAACTTCTTACCCGTAGCCAGCTATTAGCCATCCTGGAGAATCTGTGGGGAAACTTTCCTCACTTCAGAAGCTCCATAGCTCTGCAGTCAGCTAAGCCATTTCCATACCTGGTACAATTGGCACAGACCACTTCTATCTGAGTAGTAATGGAGAAACATGTTTCCATCTGCTCCTCTCTCCACACGAAACGATGGTGCATGCATCTCCTAATTAAAAGACACACATTTTTCCCAGTGGACACAAATTGTGTAAATTACGCTTTTGAGGCTTTGTGAAACAATAGTATTTATCCATTACATCCTACGGCACTATATCCCAACCCTCTCTCCAATCACATAAAAATTCCCACTGTTTCTGCTCCTGTATGTCAGGAATTTTATACTATACCTACTATACTTTAAACAACCCTATATGGCAAGTAGTAGTTCCATGTTAAGAGGAAGAAACTGAGGCTCAGGGAAGGTAAACCTAGGTTAACGGTAGAACAACATCTGATTCCCAAATGAGCCTTTGCACCGTGCCATGCTGTTTCTACCCATATTCCAAAAGCAGCTGTCTGCTGGTAACAGGAAGCCTTAGTGAGTTTCCACCACACTTGGCCTGTGACCAAGTGACCATGGGCATCTTCACTTTCCAACACATCAGGGAATCAGAGAATTTGCAAGTAGAATTAAACCATTGCTTGTTCTGAAAGGATAATGTCATCTGTGATGTCAATTTGAACATTTAGAAAATAGAACCTTCCGCCGGGCGCGGTGGGCTCGTGCCTGTAATCCCAGTCTCGGAGAGGCCGAGGCAGGCAGATCACGAGGTCAGGAGATCGAGACCATCCTGGCTAACACGGTGAAACCCCGTCTACTAAAAATATGAAAAAATTAGCCGGGCATGGTGGCACATGCCTGTAGTCCCAGCTACTCGGGAGGCTGAGGCAGGAGAATCGCTTGAACCCAGGAGGCGGAGGTTGCCGTGACCCAAGATGGCACCTCTGCACTCTAGCCTGGGCAACAGGTGAGACTCCATCTCAAAAAAATAAAAAACAAGGCCGCAAAGCCTATTTGAAGCAAGAAATAAAAGTATAAGAAATGAAAGTATAAAAGTACAAGAAATAACTATATTATTTAGAGACTTAGTGACATTGACCGAAGAACTAAAGCACAAACTTTTGGAAGGTGTCTCTGGGCAGGGCTAAGGGAGTGAGGGGCATGAAACAGGATCACGTGGGACTTTCTTTCAGGCCTCTGTATTCTGTTACTTTATTTTCACTATGTAGCGATTTGGATATAATTTTTAAATTAACTGCTAATTTCTATTTTATTGATGCTTTTTATATGTGCTGCTCAGTTACTCTTTACATTTTGTCAAGATGTAAACCAGCATACATACAAATAAATATATATACTTTCTCTAGGTACACACTTTTGGAATATAAAAAAAAACATATAGTATTTGAGGCTGGCATGGTGTCTAATGCCTGTAATCTTGCCACTTTTGGAAGCCGAGGTGGACAAGATCATTTGACGCCTAGGAGTTTTGGACAGCTGGGCAATGCAGCAAGCCCCCATCTCCACAAAAAAAAAAAAAAAAAAAAAAAAGTAGCTAGCGCCATGGTGGTGGCGTGCCTATAATCCCAGCTACTCAGAGCTGAGGTGGAAAGATCACTTGAGCCTAGGCAGCCAGAGGCTGCAGTGAGCGTGATCGTGCACTGCGTCCAGCCTGAGCAACAGAGTGTGATCCTACTCTCAAAAAAAAAAAAAAAAAGATAAAAAGTATTTGGGGGAAAAAAGAAACCATTTTTAACTAACAACTTTCACATCGG